ATCAGAGGATTGTATTTTTCTTATGAAGGCCAAACGAACCTGCTCTCTTCGTGTCTTTGTCTCGACGTCGACACACAGAAATCTCTCGGCTCCAGACTCAGTGATTTTGGTGTAACTGAGTCAAACTCCCTTAAAACCTCAGTTAATTTAAGACTCACTCAGATAAACCGCAGACAAATATCATCTTCCCGTTCCAGCATGGCCGACCTCCACCCCCCTCCACCTCCGACACCCTTCCTCCCTTGCTCCCTCACCCCGCCTGCCCCCCAGTCCTCACCCTCCTCCTCCTCCTCCTCCTCCTCCCGCTGTGCCTGGCTGCTCTTGTTTGACCTTTGCCCTCGCTTGCAGGTGGGCGGAGCAGGTGTCCAGAGTTGGCCAATAACAATCAGGGCGTCGCCCTCTGTGACACGCCCTCTTTGGGGTTGGATAATGAGCAGGCTCCCGACAGCCGATTCGCCGGTGAGTGGCAACCTCTCGAACATGGACAGATGAGAACGTAGGAAGGAGGGGGAGTGCATGAGTCAGAAGAATTAAGGATTTCTGACACATTCGTTTTTTTCAATGCCAACAAGCTCATTGGAATTAAAGCTAGTGAGAAAACCAGAGAGGACATTTTGCCCAGCATGAAGATCTGGAGCCGTCCTTCTTCTCTTCATTCCTCCCCTTCGGTGTTGTGGTGCTTCATTGCTTTCTCAGTACCGGTTAGCTGTGCACCGCCTCCCCCCTCTTAGCCGAAGCCCTGGTGTGTGTGTTTGTGTGTGAGTGCATCTTATTGTGTGTGTTTGCATGCTGTGTTTCTTGTGTGTGTGTGTGTGTGTGTGAGAGAGAAAGTCTTGTCTATCCCAGAGTTCATGTTCAACGTCTGCCAGCTCCGAGCCGCTTTGCCAAACATCTGCTCCTCATTCTTACGCCCCGCCATCTTCCCTCCTGTCCTCTCCCATCCTCCTCCTGCTTCTCGACACTTGGTGCGTTACTGTGATGGGAGCTAAAGGTCTCGATTTTTTTTTTCCTTTACAGCATTTTGTTAAATTGAGGTTATTTACACTCTGGGGTCCGTGATGATTTTGTTATTTCTTTTGCCAACTTTTCATGCATTCATATTTGTCTTTGTGCATCTTTTAAACCCTGCATATTGTAAACATAATGAATTCTTATCAAGTTAACAAAATATAATACCAGCCACAATAAAAATGTCGTAATTGCGCAAAATATTTAATAAAACAGCTCAATGTTTCAAAAAAAGATTGTTTTATCATTCATACACACCAATAAAATGAGAATAATACAGTCTATTTAGATAAACATCGATTTATTCTAATTCAAATTCTCCCCTTTAATAAAAATCTTGCATTTAAATCAATATTAACATTTCAGTTGTATTGTTTTCTGTTGTGAGAGTAACTTTGAATGAAACAGTTGTTAAAGGACTCCAGAGGGTTAGTTTAACGTAAAGTCGGGTTCAAACTCTCTCCTCCTCCTTTAGCTCTGTGTCATTTCAGAAGCTTCCCTCTGTTAAATCCTCTGATTTCCCGTCATCTCCTTGAACCCGTTTCACCTCTTCGCTGTTTTACGGTGAATATTGTGACATGTTTTCTCTCTCGTGTGTCGTAAAAGTGTTCTGTTATCTCTGTTTCTCTCCCTTTTTTCCCCTCCTGTCATTCTTCACATGTTCTGCTGTCTTTTCCTCGGATCTTTTCCTTCTTCCCCTTTGTCTTTCTTTCCTCTGTCTCTTCTCCTTCTTTCGCCTTCTATCGGATGGACAGATGAGGAGTCGTGCCCAGTGCACATTGAGGACTAGGTATGGAGTTATGGTCGGAGATCAGACACCAGGGTCACAAACTGTAGTTTCATGACGATCATTCATCTTTTATTATAACTCACGGTAGCTGCTTATCATCAGTTTAACTTGAAACTGCACTTTAAAATAAAACCAAAGATACTAAAGTGATGCAGATTATTTTTCTCATAACTTTGGTTTTAATTAGTTGTTCAATGCTTTTAAAATGTGACAGTGGTTCCATCCCCCGATGCTCAGACTCTGGCTCTGAAAGACGTCATCAGCGCAAGATGGCAGCGTCCGTACCCGCAAAGTTGTGGCTTCATTTAAAATGAAATCGAAGCAACGATTGTAATTGTTGACGTCAGTTTACTTCTGAACCGCTCGGCCGCGTCCAGTTTCCGCTCTGGTGGGATTTTTTCATTCAAACTAACCGTCATCTCTCTCCGTCTCTTGTCGTTCTTCTCTCGTTCAGATCTGATGTACCTTGGGGGCTACAGGCCTGTTTTGGAGCCCCTCCCCCACCACACCTCCACCAGCAATATCAACCTGGAGGAGCAGGGGGCCGATAACAGGGACGGCCAGAGTCCCAAACATCCTCGCCGCGGACCACTCATCGTGTAACACGCTCTCACACACGTACACAAAAACTTAAACCCAATCCATCCAGACCCGTCTTACCCTGTCGTAGTGCTGCATAGCTGGATACTGTCCTCGCTGAACAGGGAACCCCCCCCCCCCACCACCGCTCTGAACCTCTGATTGTCGTGAAACTCTTCCAGAGTGGAAAGAGGAGGGAAGAGGAACAAACAGCATCGACCTCTCCACTGAACACTTTACTCTCACCAAGTTTCCTTTATTTGTTTTTGTCTGTGACCGAACGTGTCGTGGGAAAGATGATCGTACTGCGAACATTATTATTTATTACTTGTAGGTGTAACCAATTGAGTGCTGTGTATTGTGACACTATCTTTAGAAACATACATGCTGCTCCTTTCCTTTCCTCATTTGACCTCTCCTCTCCTCTCCCCTCCTCTCCTCTCTGTTACCAGCCAAACAGTCAGGGGCTACTGTGATCGGCAATCGGATTTATTACTAATCTACTTCTTCTTCTCTGTTATAAACTTGCGTTGAATGAGTGTTCTGACACTATATAAAAGTCAGCTCGCACCAGACAACCTTACGTTACCATAGCAAACTGAAAAAGTCCGGACTCCTCTCGTCGGATCAGGGAGCTCCGGTCTCGACTTCGCATGCAGCTTTGGACTGCTGCTGATCTCCTTCACCTCTCCACCCTGCCGTGAACTTAAAACACGATAACCATTGCTGAATGTGAATCCAGAAACTCTCGGACTTGCGAGCCGGCGCACGAGCCACGAGATGAGCAGAGAAAGACGCGTCTCACAGAATGTAACTCGTGGAAGAAGGGGAATGTACGTGACATCTTAATCGTCACCTGAACTGGAATTAAACACAAACTGTGAACCTGGAAGTGGTTCTTTAAAAACACACCCACCGCGCCACACTCTCTTTCTGCAGCTACGTGTTAGCATGTCCGTTTTTTCCTTCAACTGGAAATCAACTATTACCACCAAGCAATAAAGATGCCGGAGCAGCGTCTCTTCCTTTTTCCTCTGCAGGAGGACGCTCACCCACAGTCCAGACAAAACTGTGTTTGCACCGGCCTCTTCAATCAAATACAGACATTCGTGTGTGTTTAAGTGTCATTTTTTAATTTAAAATTTTAAAGGGATTGATTGTGAGAAAAACAACGATTGAGATTGAAGCCTCGCTGTGGTCGACTGGTATTTAGTTCCTCGTGATCATCGCCCTGACGAACCCTCTTTCTTCTCATCCGTGAGGCTTTTAGTTGTTTCGGTTTGTTACAACTTTTAATGTATAGCTCACCTGTTGTTGTTGTTCTTCTCCGTTTCTGTGTTTTTAAGTTGTTGCAAAACACTGTGTTGTTTATCAGAATGTGGATGAAAATATGTGAAGCATTTGTAAAGGTTTACACACACTCACACACACACACACACACACACACACACACACACACACACACACACACACACCTCACAAATTACTGAAAAGGGACGATATCAACATTTAATGCATTATTAGCTGTTTCCTAGACGACACACGTTGCGGTGCATGAGGCGATAGTAGAGTAAGCATGTTAGTCTAGGTCAGCCTGCACCCTCCTCTAGAATACTTGATGATGGATCACTGCACACACACCAAGACGTTTTCATGTCCGTCTGTAGAGTTAACTAATCGGTTGCTGGCTCCTTATTCCCTTGACCAAACTGTCGAGGTCAAGACTACTGCACTATTATATCCAAGCTGCAAACAGTCATGTGATTACAGATTACAGATGTGCAGAGGAAGCCGTCCTCCGGCTCCTGTCGCAGTGTGATAGCAAAGGAACGGGTTCTGAATCTGCGAGAGCCCACTTTTTCTAGAACCAAGAGTTAAAAATGTCAAAGAAAAATATCAAACAGACAAATAAAGATTTTGCAACTAAGCCGTCACTGAGTGATTTTGTGTAAATGTGTGAGATTGGATCTCGTCCCTGAGAATAAAACGCTGCTCTGAGACGTTTCCCGTCACGATCAGCTTCAAAGAAACACTCTAAATGTAACTCAAGTCTTCACAGAAGAAGATTCACAGAGACTGTGGAGGATGTAACATTCCACCGTGACCTCACAACACATTTCATCTGGACTCTGCCTTAAGAGGATGTAAATAGTAAATCAGCTGTGGTGCTGTGCTGCCGGCAGTGGACAGTGAGTGCAGCACTTTAATGAAGGTGAGTGGGAGTAAATGGTGATCAAGTTCCTGTCTAATTGAATTGTCTCGTGTTGTGAGCTGCTCTTCTTGTTCCACTAACATCTGTGTCGTAGCTGAATTGAAACCCGCTTTTCTTCAGCTGTAAAAAAAGATGCAGATTCACATTATCTGTGACCCCCCCCCACCCCCCTCCCCCGCCTGCCTGCCTGCCTTTTCTGTAGTGTCATTAAACATCACTCACCTGTAAACCAATCATCTGCAGCCTCACCTGTCTTCTGAACCAAAGCCTGATGTATGTTCACCCCTCTCCTCCTCTGAGAGCCAATCACAGCCTGGCGTCCGACCAGGGAGGGGTTTCTCCTCTCGGGGGGGGGGGGCTCATCACTGTCCAGCAGGGACACAGTGGTCCCACAGCAGAGACACACACAGACACACACAGACACACACAAAGCTGTAGATATGGTGCCTGTGGTTTTCTTCGTCCTCATCCTCCTCACAGGTAAGATCTTGTTTTATATGATGACGTTTGTAGGTTTGAACCTGGGAAAGATTTCTAAATGTAGATATGAGTCCCACTGTGAAAGTTTTATAGTAAATATAAATATTAAATCAACTAAATACAACACATTACTGTAGTAGATATGTGTTTATTCATGTATTTGTACACAACAACAACAACTGGTTCTATTGACCTTTGGTAAAAACTGATTTTTATTGTCTTGATTGTTTGCAATAGATTTTAACAGTTAAGTTGTGTAGTTTTTCTGTTTATTGATCATTTTGACCATAAAACTGTAGCGTGATAAACACGTAAAATGTTCTTATAGCAGCGCACAACGACAGTAAAATGTGTTTTAAACCTTTTTGGACGATTATACATAAATGCTCAAAAAGGGGGACTTGAAGTAAAGTGTGACCGATGAAAGAATAGAAAGAAAAAAAACCCAGACAAACTAAAAGCTGTTCGATATCGAAATCCACTGAAGGTGGAACATCCTCGGAGAGCGTGTGCAGCTACCAAGACGTTGTGGATTATCTGAACCTGACCACAGACAACAGTTTGTTCAAACTGACCCGACCCGTTCTGGACCACACGCACCAGACCACCGTACAGCTGGACATCCTCCTCTACGCCATCCTGGCTGTGGTACGTTCATCATGCGGCTCTAAGGCTGAACGCTGGCATGTTGTGGATCAGTTCTGACGAGCGTGTGTGTGTTTGTGTTCATTCACAGATCGAGAAAACACAAACTTTCATCCCTTTTCTCTGGGCATCAATGGTGAGTTGACTGAAACCACAGACCACAGTGAAGCCAAAACACATTGATCGCCCCCTGGTGGCTGTTCGTATACACATCATTTTACATCAGTAGACATTTATGTTCAACTGTGACTCTTTGAAAGTTCTGCCAGTCCGTTTGTTATTCTGTGTTTAACGCACCTTTAAACGTGACTTCTCTTTTTTTATTTACTGCAGCAGTGGAACAATGAATTCATTTCATGGGATCCTGCTCAGTTCTGTGGAATAACTCAGATTTTAATTCCCAAAGAAATGCTGTGGAGACCAGACATTTTCATCTATGAGATGTGAGCACACACACACACACACACACACACACACAGAGTGATAACAATGAATATTGTGGAATAAAGCATTGATTTGCTCTCACCCTGTAAAGAGGATGTTTGCTGGATGGATGGGGTATTATTCTTTGTTAAACATGAAGCTCTTGGACGTTAAGTAATTTAATAGCTTTATATTCGCTCCCTGTGTTTGTTCAAGTGATTTGTGTGTGTGCTCACGAACACACAACAGGCTTCACACTATTGTCAGACGAGCAGTGAGAAAACACACGATCCTGCAGCGGAGGCATCGTCCGTCGCTGCACTTGTTTGGTTTAACGCTCCACAAACACACCTTGAAAAGATTGTGTGTGTTTTTGACTCAGGGTGCAGAAAGACGACTCCCCGAGGAACCCTTTCATGCAATTGTCCCACGATGGGACGGTCATGTCTGAAGAGGGCATGAACGTGATCAGCACCTGCAAGATGGACATCCACAAGTTCCCCTTTGACACACAGAGCTGCAACATCACCATCGGTTCTGCAGTGTACTCCTGTGAGGCACTTTATTATTCACATGTGTTTTATTTATGTCTTTTTGTCCTTTTGTTGTGATGCTTAAAGTTAAAGCTAAATTCTCCTCTTCTCTCCACAGCCAACGAAATCCGTCTGTTTCCTTCCTCCAACTCGTCTCGGGCCACTCAGTTTTCCCGGGAGGTGATGCAGACCCAGGGCGAGTGGGTGTTCCTCCACCTGTCCATCACCAGGGCCAACTTCACCCTCAATGACAGACTGTGGGAACAGCTCATATACACTGTACGCACACACGAGGACGCTAACTGTTGGTTTTTTCCGTCAATTTGTCTCCTTTCTACTGTCGATACACTTGTTTTAGTTTTAAAGAGAAATCTCAAACACTAATCTGTGGGTGTTTACTTCAGGACAGAAAATTAGACTATATAAACTGAATATGATTGAAGTTTGCAACAGGATAAAAATTGGGGAGCAGGTATTTCCAGCTATTTTTGCAAGGAGCTGCTGTTATCCAATTTGGCCACTAGAGGGCGCGTTGTATCTGGAAACTAATATGGATACAAAAGCAAAATTTGACAATTAAAAATATTAAACAGGATTTTTCTTGTTTTTCAATAAATCTTCATTAAACACATTTGGAGACTTACATAAAAATATATATGTTTTTTTTCAACACATTTTCACAAAGAATTCCAGGTTGAAATAAAAAGTGCTTTGATTCCATGTCTGGGGATGTCTGCCGCCAAGAAAAGCTGTTTAGGCCTCGGCTCATAAAAGTACGTTTTCCTACAGAGGGAAAACAGCAATATCTCCAAGCCACATAATAAACTAAATGCTCCAGGAGGGGTTAACAATGTGGGAAACACTGTTTACTGGGAACAATGTAAAACAAAGCCATGCAAATATCAGGGACAAAATAAAATCATCATTTGTTTGCAAATATAAGTTTCGAATAAAAAGTAGTGGTTCTGTCTCTTGCACATAGTTGGATAAATGCTCCACTAAACCCACTTCTGGATGGTTTACTCAAATGTGCTGCTCACAAAAGTCAATAACACAAATTTTTATGATATAGAACTGTGTCAAAAGTGAGAAGCTGATGTAAGGCAACAATCCAGACATAGTTTCAGGGTTTAACCTTAACATTGAACTTGCAGGTACAGGCTCCTTAGCAAACATACAGTATGATTTTCATTCCAGCTGAGTCCCGGGGGCTGAATGTTGGCTTGTAAAACGCTGTGTCAACTTAAAGTCACTACACAACCTCCCTCAGGCCGCAGGCAGCAGCACACAACAGCTTAATGTTTTTACTGAACATAACTCACAGCTCACTCACTGGAAAACAGCAGCTGTTAACTGTACAAAGAGCAGATCAGGATACCTGCACCGAGATAATGTGCAAGAGACTGTGGACATAATCATTAACAAAGATCCAACACCAGCTGAACTCATTAACCTTTTCCTACTTGTTTTATCATCCAGGGAGAAGAAGCAAAAAAAGCTGAACTGGAGTAAATATCAGTTTTGGTTTTCTCAGTTTCCAAAAGAATATAATCCACTAACCTTGCACCCAAAAAGCAAGTGAACAATACAGAACGATAAATCATTTTGTTGAGTTGAATGTATTTTTAGTTTAATATAAATCTTTGGCTGTCTTTTCACACTAAAACGGTTCTGTCGACAACACTTTTTTAGAATATACATATGATGTATTAAGAGTCTGTTTGAGGGAGTACACGTTTTTCTTCTTTGTCAGCCCAGATCTGGTTCAGTAAATTGTTGAATATAATGTTTTTGTCTGACAGCACTGATGCGACATTTCATCCCAGTATTTGGACAAATATACATACATGACATAAAGAAATACATGATATAAAGATAATCAGTGCAGGAGAGTTTTGATGTGTGAACATATTTATACACGTCTCCTCTTTTGTTGTCAATTTCTCTAACTTGAAGTATTTTTGTGTTTAAAATCTGTCTAATGTTCCTTCCCCCTCTTGTCCACCAGGGAGCAGTATTTCAGTAGTAATAAATGCAACTTATCCTTCAGATACTTAGTTTCCTTAAAGGAGAGGCACAAAGTAAACATCAAGAGAACTTCTACAGGAGCAAACTATTACTTCTGTTTTCCTGTGAATAGATTCACCTGCCACATTAATTAATGTGTTGTGTCTTCATACAACATTTCCATGTCTTTAAATCTATGATCGTTTAGAATCAGTCATTGCACCAGAGTCCATTCATACTTTCCTCATTTTTAGAGTTTGCTACATAGAAATAACAAAGTGCAAGAAATGTGTGTGTGTGTATTCAACATGAGCAGTGGAGCCTCTGCTTTAATGTAAACACACATTATGCTGCACTGTGTGTTTACTGTGTGTGAGTGTGTGTTTACTGTGTGTGAGTGTGTGTGTGTTTACTGTGTGTGTTTACTGTGTGAGTGTGTGTTTACTGTGTGTGTGAGTGTGNCATGTGTCTGTGGATGTGTTATTAACATGTGTCTGTGGATGCGTGTTTTTAACATGTGTCTGTGGATGAGTGTTATTAACATGTGTCTGTGGATGCGTGTTTTTAACATGTGTCTGTGGATGCGTGTAGGTGCAGGTCAACAGATGTGTTCTGTCGAGGGAGTCTCATGTTCTGCTCTTGATTCTGGACGAGCTGAAGGAGCTGATGAAAACTCTGAGTCTGCACCTCGGCTCCAGGGAGGAGGGGGGGGGGAGGCCCGTCCTCTGGGCCACGAGAATCAACAGAGTGTTCTTCACTTTCTACGTCACCTCCGTGTTAACGTTTCTGTCCCTCATCTTCTATGAGTGGACTTGTTAGAAATGCACAGCCCCACCCTGTAGTGCCTCGGTGTCTGTATTGTGAGTCTTTAATGCATTTGATGGAGTTTGTATTTGTCTTGTTGTGAATTAACTTAAAGTGGTTTAGCTGAGATCATTAGCTTGGTTTATTTTTAATATCATTTAATCTGCTTGTTGAAAGATGTGTAATAAATGATCCACGTTGGTTTCAATTTAATATCGAAGCAAATAAACAGGAAACAGTGAATTCCAAATCGTAATCCGGTCATCTGTGAGTGAGTGCAAGTGAACTTTTGTGTGACAAGAAAAGAAGTGAACCGGCTCTAATTCAATCAGGACGATCGGCCGTAACAGATAAAAGAAGAAAAACATTCTTCTTCCGACATCGTCGGAAGGGACTCGCTGACCTCGCTGACCTCAGGTCGCTGACATCATCTCTTCAGTCTTCTCTCACTTCCCGGCTCATCGCTCACTCTAAACCAATCACGTCCCCGTTCACCAGCTCGACATCCTGCAGGTTTCAAACTCGCTGTCAGAGAGGACGCTTGTTTTTTAACCTTAACCGTGTTGTCACCATGACGACACGTTAACCTTTACAAGGTTAAAATGTCAACCCAAAGAATGGCTGAGTGAAATGACACTGATGTCACGTCACTGAGCAGATTAGACAACATACAAACGTAATTATAATAAATGATCCCAACAGCGTCTCACTGCCGCCACCAAGTGGTGATGATACGCTTTCAAATTTCATTGTTCAGTCATTTTCCCAGAATGAAAAATCAAAGTTAACGATTATAAGACTATAAAGTTTCTGACGTGTAAAATAAAGTTAGATTTTGTCTCCTAATGGAAAGTTTGGGTCTAAATGAAAAGCAGTAGCACGGTGCACTGATGTGATGCTGCCGCTGTAATGACAAATATGAATAATGTATAAACACAGAAGGTGAAATTGTAGATAATCAACATGGAGAAGTAAAAAAAAAAAAAGTATGTTCCTCTGAAAAGTAGCAGAAATTAAATCACAAATGAACAAACATCCGTTTCAGAGAATAATTCATCAGCAGAACTTAAATTAATAGAGTAGAAGAGAATATGTGGTGTTAGTGACACGGCTCATATTTGTGTTTTTCATCCAAAACCTGTGGTATTTGAGTACAAATATTTACTGGCTGCAGTGACTGTACGTACTTTAAGTCCCTTCTCGTTCTTGCACTAGCAAACCCACAGAGAGCTGCTGTGGGCGTGAGCATGGCTGTTGGACTAATGTCATTTGAGGAGAAAAACGCAAGACAGTAAACATAAAGGTTTGGTAATTCAGTTTGTCCGTCCCTCTTACAGAACGAGACTCTCACGTTTCCACACAATAGTTTGAGGACACACAGTCGCTGGACGGTCTGATACAGGTGTTGCAGCCATGATGCTCTTCGGTTCTCTCCTCCTGCTCGTCTTCTTCACCGGTAAGAACAAGACGCCTGCACGTTCATTTCTTTCTCTATTCAAACTACTGTCAGAGTATTGAGGGTCAGATGCTGAATTTCAGAGCTGATCTCCTGTGATTCTGTCATCAACATGTGTCAAGTTGAAGGAAATTAGGCTTTAAAAGACCGTCAGTGTCTTTTTTTAATAAATATGAAACAGTTTTTAATAGTGCGATGCTCCAGGGAGAATGCATTTGGACATTTTACCTCAGCTGATCTCAGAGAGAGATCCTTGTTTGAACTCTTCTATCCTCTCATTAGGCTTTTTGTGTGGCCACAGACATTGGAAATTACTGCTCATGTTTGTGAGCTGAGGTTTTAATGGTCGGATAATAATGTTAGAAGCAGCAGATTCCCGTCCACACTGTTTAATGTTTAATGTCATTTCTCCTGAGCCGAAACATGTGACTGAGCATCTCGCTGGTTTTCTGTTTCCTGTGTTCTCCAGGTGACGTGCGCTCTGAGGAGAACTGCAGTTACCAGGATGTGTTGAACTACCTGAACATTAGCAGAACCAACGAGCGCTTCACCATGAGCCGGCCTGTGAAAAACTACAGACACGCCACCCAGGTGTACCTGGAGGTTCTGCTCTACGCCATCCTCGATGTGGTGAGTGCTCAAAGATGCATTCGGTTGGAACACGGCTCATCACGCCTCTGAGCGTCTCTTACCTTGCAGGGACGATGCTTGCGGAGATATTTGGGACATTCATATATCTTTATGTGAAAATTTCTGCAGTAATAAGTAATAAAACCTGAAAATTACTGGCTTTTTGTCAATGGAACCAGTTTAAACTAAAATACTGTCGGTGTTCACATATTGTTTTGTTTATAGGTTGAGAAAGAGCAAAAGTTCATTCCTTACGTTTGGACTGTCATGGTGAGTTCTGCCAGTTTTTACTTTTATTTGTGTCCCTTGTTCTCGCTGTAATTTTATAAAAACTTCATATTTTTCTTCCCGTCTTGTGTTTTTCTCGCAGCGGTGGCACAACGAGTACATTTCCTGGGATCCGAAACAGTTTTGTGGAATTGACAATGTTTCTCTTCCAACTGAGCTTCTGTGGAAGCCAGATATCACAATTGAAGAAATGTTAGTAACACACACACACACACACATATTGATTTTCTAAATTGAGGAAGACAGAGGTAGATGGTTCTAATGTAAAAGCTTAATTAAGAAAATTAGCGTCATATTTTCCAATTCGTTGATTTGACAGTAATGGTGAACAGAACAATAGAATATTAGGTTTTTGCTCGGACACAACAACAATCACACAATAGCTGAAGCATTTGGAAACACAACATTTCTTCCTCTGAGCGGAAACGCTAGAGGAAAACATCATAAACTGAATTATTGCGTCACAGCAACTTCTCCATCTTGCATGTGTGATTCATCGTTTCCCTGCAATGAGGTTTACTGAATGTGTGAAGACAGCGCGGTCGTCGTGTGGATGTTGGTGCGTGTGTAGTTTTTGAAGCAGCGGTGATGATCACGTGTCTCCACATGTGTCCAATCAGGACAGAGAAGGACAGAGCTCCCCCGAGTCCTTATCTCACCATCAATGATAAAGGAGACGTGGAGGTCCACAACGACCAGGTGTTAGTCAGCAGCTGCAGGATGCACATCTACAAGTTCCCCTTCGACATACAGAGCTGCAGCCTCTCCTTCAAGTCCGTCATACACACCGGTGAGAGCATCCACAAACGCATCCATCCATCTGGTGATCCATCCGTCCGTCCGTCCGTCCCTTTAGCTCCTCTAACAAACAGTTATTTCCTCTCTCTCCTCAGCTAAGGACATTCGGCTGCGGCCCAGTGACAACTCCTCAGAGGCCACCGAGTGGTCTCGGGAGGTGATGCGGACGCAGTACGAATGGTTGTTCATCAACATGACGGTCACAGCCAACAACGCCACCGATCCACTCGGCCAGGACATCATAGTTTACACTGTGGGTATAATGACTTGGGTCAAGAACAGTTTGAGGTAGTCTCACTTTAGTTTCTGTCGTCATGAGCAGAAGTTAAATCAACCACCTGAACCTTGAACCTCACTCAACAGATCAACATGAGGAGGAGGTCGGCCCTCTACATCGTCAACTTCATCCTCCCCATCCTCTTCTTCTTGGGTCTGGACTTGGCGTCCTTCCTGATCTCCGACACTGGCAGCGAGAAGCTGAACTTCAAGGTCACCGTGCTTCTCGCCGTCACCGTGCTGCAACTCATCCTGAATGAGATCCTGCCCTCGTCGTCAAACAGGATCCCGCTCATAGGTAAAGAAGTTTGTCCTTCGTGGGACTGAACACATTGTTTGACCGTGACAGTAATGACGCAGCGTTCTCCCCTCAGCGGTTTACTGCATCGGGATCTTTGCTCTGATGATGCTCAGCCTCCTGGAGACGATCCTGGTGATGTACCTGATCGAGAGAGACTCGGCACCGCAAGACAACGAGATGGACGAACACAGAAGCCTGAGGGAGGAGTGTAACCAGGGCAAAGACAATTTCCAAAACTGTCATGACGGTGAGAACAGGAGTTGGTATCATCTGCTGTTCCTCAGTTCAAAATAAAGAGTAGAAACTAGATCTTTGTTACCAAATATTATTTTGGTGTTTTCAGAGATGCAGACTTGGACTCAGTGCTCGAGTATCTATGATGGTGCTGGTGAAACTCCGTCTGAGCAGCTGTCCATGGCCAACGAGGTTAGAAGTACATTAGAATCAGGTTGCACTTTAATTCTCTTGACAGTGGCACAAAATGCTGAATGACAAATACACAATCAATTGTATAAACAAATCTGCTGAACCACTCTTGCAGCATCAGAGCAGGCGGCTGGTGGAGCAGGACCAGGTCCTGGAGAAGGTCTCGGACGAGCTGAGGGAGATGGAGAAAACTCTGAGTCTGATCCTCAGCAGCCGGAGGGACGAGTTCAAACCCGGCTACTGGAGCACAATGGCGAAAAGAGTCAACAAAGCTTTCTTCATTTTCTACGTCATCGTGATCAGTGTGTTTTTGTTTTGCATCTTTGTAAAATGGAAATCCAAGTGATGATCACAACAGCATGAAAACACGATCCAGCAACTTTCTCCTGTTGTGACAAACATCAGACTCAGAGCTTAGAATTCAGTTTCCCTCGTACCTGGTGTGCGCTTGTTTCCAGAGCTGCTTTCAGACAGATGTGTGGAGGGGCTTTATGTGAGAACGCAAATGTTCGACATTTTCCGCAACTTTTCCTTCCGTTGCTCAGTGCTTCATCTACACACTATGACTAATATCCTGTATGCTGTAAATTCTACTCCGTGCACTTGCCTGTATGTGTCGAAATCGTACATTTGACATTTACTCTACTTCAAATTGTGTCCTCGTGTAACAGGGACTTAATTTCTGCTGCAGCTTTAGCCTGAATTACAGTTGAGTGATAATAA